AATTTCTTCTTTCAGAGTACTGTAGTTTTCTTTGTAGAGGTCTTTCACTTCTTTGGTTAGATTAGTTCCTAGGTATTTCATTTTTCTTGAAGCTACTGGGAATGGTATTCTTTTCATAATTTCCCTCTCATCCCATTCAACTGGTGTACACAATGCTAATGATTTTTGTGTGTTGATCTTGTATCCTGATATACCGCTGAGTTTGTTATTAATTCTAAGGGTTTTTTTTGGGGGGGGGTCTAGCTCTTTGGGTCTTGTACAAATAATGATAATCTGAGTTGTCTCTTTCCTATCTGTATCCCTTTTATTTCCTTCTCTTGCCCAATTGCTCTGGCTAATGTTTCAAGTTGAATAGAAGAGGTGAGAGTGGACATCCTTGTCTTGTTCCAGATTTCAGGGGGAATGTTTTTAGTGCTTCCCCATTTAGTATGATCCTGGCTATTGATTCGCCAGATATAGTGTTTATCATATTCAGTTATGGTCCTCCATCCGTTTTATGAGGTGTAACTTTTAGACCCACAGTATTAGGTAATGCCAAGTGACCGTGAGGCAGTAACCACAGGACCTTGAAAGACTCCTTCCACTGGAGCAGGGCAGCAGTCCGACAGCCCTCTCTGGGTAGCCGTGAGGACTAGGAAGTCTTTGCTAGTAATCTGGATATTACATCTGAAAAATAAGCATCTCCTGCCTGAGTATAGCTCATGGGCCAGTGCTCACCCAGGAATATCATATGTGGCACGCACCACCACAGGGAGGGTGTAAGACTTATTTTTAAGAGACTGGCACTGGCACACTGTCCTCACTCAAGATCTGTGTGAGTGGCAGGCGAGGTCTGCAGGCTGAAGGGAGAGGTCACTGTTATTCCATTTGTGAGCTGTTAGGCATGAATAATTTAAGAGTCGTATCTGTAAAGGAACAAATGTCAAAAACAAATTGACAACTATTCTTCGAGCAAGGTACGGTTCATTTTCAAAAGGTCAGTTTGGTAGTTTTCTCCAGTAAGTTCTGAAATCTTAACTTCCCATTTTTACATTTCACGTGGGCTGCAGGAAAACACATTTTTAGTAAGTGTCAAGGGCCCCGGGCTGGTGGTAATTGATATTCAGCAAGTGTACGGCAGCCCTGGAGGAACTGTGAAGAGCCCACTGCTCCTCCATCCAGCCAGGTGGTAGGGATCAGAGTGCAGGGCTGTTCCCTCAGGCTGCTCGGCTCCCGTGACACGTCTGGCCAAGCAGCAGCTGGCTGTGCTGTGGCTGCCTCTGCGTCAAGTGGGGTGGGCGAAACTCACGCATTTCCCTTCCTGTGGCCTGGGCAATTGCTGCAGGACTCAGGGTTGGTCAGCCCCTCTTTGCTTACTGCTCAAATGCTGCACAAGTGCCTTGGCCTTGCAGCCCTAATACAGGTGTGTGGTGCGGCAGGAGGCTCAGTGAGCTGTGTGGAAGGCGGGGTAGTAACACTGCCACACCTCAGCGGGCTCCTGTGAAAATGCCAGTGCTCTTGTAGGCCCAGAAAACAGGGAGATGAAACAAGCCTTAGCTATTATTTCTGACCTGGACCTCGAAGACGGGCGATCCCCTTTCTGTGGGAACCGCTCTCACGAATCACACTCACACACCAGTACAGAATCTCAGCACAAAGGCATCCTTGCACAGAAAGCCTGGGTTCCACGCCGAGCCGTCCCTCTCAGACTGGCGCCTGACCTTGGGCAACTCCTTTACTGCTTCAGCCAGGTGAGGGAACCACACCTGAACCTCTGGTTCATCAGAGCCCGGGCAGCATTATGCGAGTCTAACTCTCCCTGAAGCCAGAGCAGCCCGGCTTTTACTCTTCTATATTTTGGGATTCTATTTGAAATAAAAAGTTTTCACTGCTTATAAATAAGGTTTAAGAGCTACTGCCTAAGGTGATCTATAACTTTTAATTGCTAGAGTGTACAGGTTTAATAGTCTCATGTCTGAATTTTAGAGATATACCAAATATACAAAAACAAAACATCCCAAAAAACTCTCTCCAAGCTGCCTGAAAATGACCCCAAGAAACAAAACCCACAAAAACCTGAAATGAAAGCCAGATTTCAATGCATTTTCCTAACTTTGTGGTTTTTATAAGGAAGGACTAGTTTATGAACATTTCTCACCCTCCTTCTTTCCCTTGCTCCCTCTTTGTCTTTTAAGAATTTAGAGAATCTAATGTATGCCAGAAACTGTGTCGAGTCCAGAAATCCAAGAGTGAGCAAACTGCAAAGTGTCTGTTCTTAAATACACTTCGCCTGCTTCTGAAGACTGACAACAAACAAGTAAACCAAGATTTACAGAGCGAAAAGGCCCTGAAGGAGATATCAGGAGGTGAAGAGAGAACACAGTGGGCGGAGACTGTGTGGGGAGGAGTTAGTTCCCCAGGCCCAGGCTGGTCACCTGCGGCTTCCTGTCATTTCTGACAAGCACATGTGGACACCAGGCACCAGGCTATGGCAGTGACAGGGAGCGCCTTATCTTTTCCTTTAGGAACTGAAATGTTTAGGAACTTTGAAAAGTTTTGATTTGTACACCACAAACTCTCAGTGGAAAAATATTTTTCCAGTTCCTCATTTTATATATAACTTTTGGAGCAGGTATTTTATTTGAAGGGAGTATAAAAATCCAGTGGCTGGGGCTCTGGAACCAGGCTGCTTAGGTTCAAATTCTAGCTCTGCCCCTAAATTGTGTGACATTGGGCAAGTTATTTGAGAATGTTGTGCCTCAGTTTCCTCAACCAGTACACACACACACACACACACACACACACACGGTATCTTCCTTGTGGTGATGGTGTGGCGCTAAGTTTATCAGTCTCTGGCTAAAACAGTACGCGCTAAATGAATGGCACTGTGTACCTGAAACCCCAGAGGAGCCCCAGGCTGCCCTCAACCATGCCTCGCTCCCCTGATGGAGTTATGAGCTGGAAACACCGGCCCATTATTTTTCTTTGACAAACACGTTACAGGAACAGATGAACACCCTCTCGCGGTGGATAGGTGAGTACTAACTGTGCAGGGAACAGCTCTAAAACCAGGCCATTACCATGTAAAGGTTAACCAAATAGGAAACGGTGACTTTTGATGGTGTTAATGAACTGCAAAATCCTGAAGCGTATCAGAAAAGGGGAAGGAGAGCAAACAGAGGACGCTAGTTTGTGGTGGTATTAATTAACTGCACACCACTCAAGCACCCGGGAGGGGCAGAAGCTGATAAAAATGGAGAGTAATGGACCTGCTGTGCTTAGCACTGGCCAGCACATTTCTACAGTCTCCTGAACTGAATTTGCGTTTTGCTCTCAATAGAGGTTCTGTGTACCTCTGACATCCTGGAGCTCCTGCTGTCAAAACTGGACTTCGTAACGGTGACTTCAGGACGCCCTGTCAGCCACTTCTCACTACTATATATCTTGGGCGCCGATTCTGCCCCCATGGCTTCTTTAGGACACGTAATGTAATGTATTATTTGTCCCCTCACAGCAAGGTCTCCTCTTGACAGGCGGCATTCTATTTTTCTGTCATGAGTAACTACAAATGTGCGCCTCTAAAGAGATTCCTGATCTGAGGGGCATCATATATTTTGGACAGTAAAATCGTGGAGATACTGTTATCCCTTGGGCGGCCAAAATGTACAGCTCAGATAGATGAGGTCTTGCTGGACTCCCTAGGCCCGAAGAAAAATGGGCTGCTCTACTTTCTCCATGGGGCAGTTAGGGAGAATAAAAAGGAGAGCTCACTTTCTCATGACCTGTAGAGGTGCGTGACAGCCTCTGCTTCGCAGGAAGGCCACGTCCCTGCTGACGAGCGCGCGTCATTTAGGGGTAGGGACCCATTCTGAGCAAAGCAACGCTAGGCAACTTCCTCACTGTGTGATCCCAGAGAGGCCCAGGCAAACCCAGATGGTGCAGGCCAATCACTCGGCGGCTCTTGATCCATCGAAGGACACGGTAAGCGGGCACAGAAGGCTGCTGGCAAAACTGACATACTGTTGCTGCTTTTTTTTTTTAAGAAGCAGAAAGAGTATATTCTAACAACAAAGTGTCAACACATAAGAAAGTAACAGGGTTGCTTATTACTGTCAAATAGGATCATGCACCATTATAATCATACGAGCTACACTTCCCGCAGCCAGCACTGCTACAAATGCACAACGAACGTGTTGTGCTATGACGTTAGGATGGCTGTGGGAGGACCTCAGGCAACCGAGCCCAGCTACAGATGTGGTCTGTGGATGACTGAAACCTCATTATGCAGGCCATGCCCTTGTCCGGGTGATGCTGGGGTAATCCGTGCACTCTGAAGTCACATCCACAGCTAGTACTTGGGGACCACTATTGTAAGGGCTTCATACATGGTACCTCATTGGATTCCCACATGACAATATCAGGTGGCCACTATCTATCTGATTTTTTTTTTTTTGGTACTGGGGAATCGAACTCAGGACCTTGCACTTGTGAGGCAGGCGGAGGCACCACTGAGCTAAATCCCTGGCCCCTGGGCACTATCTATTCTTAGTATTATTTCACATTTGTGGTGACTAAAATTGCTAAAGATCACATCGAGGGAACGGTAGATCTGGAATTCAGATGAAGGTCAGCTGGATACCAAAGCCATGCCTGTATCCCTTAAACAGTTATTTTCTCTGAGATTAGCTTTTAGAAGAACAGAGACAATTTCTGTCTATATTCTGTTTAGTTGTGTGTATTCTGTCACCCTAAAACATGAGGCACAGGTTACCTCACTTTGCATGTATAAGTCTGAATGAAAACAGTGGCATCTCAAAGTGACTGGTTTCCTCTACAGGAAATCATTTTCTTTATGTATAGCAGCTTTCATATTCCCACCTTGGGGCTGGGGATTTGGCTCAGTGGTTCTGCCACCTGCCTTGCAGGCTCAAGGGCCTGAGTTTGATGCCCGGTACCAACAACAACAACAACAACAAAAACCCAAAACAACAACAAAACAACAACAAAAACTATATTCCCACCTTGAGCACTCAAACTTCCAGAGGAATCCAGGTACTGCTCCAATGGCTGCTGACTGGGAGGAACAATTGGCGGGCTCAACATATTTAACCAGTCCCTGCCAAAAAGAAAGAAAGAAAGGGAATGAACAACATGCCCGCAATCCTACAGACGGATTTTATGTTAGGTCTGCATTTTCAATTCCATGAAGTTTCCACAAAGAAACAGTTTTCCATCCTTCATCTTTCAGAAAGATAAGATGTCCAGATATTAATGTTAGTTTTATAAATTGGCTAACAGGGCATCAGCCACTTCACTAAGCAGTTATTTGAGAAGTATAGACTAAGTGATGACCATTCCTCTCCAGAGTTTATTATGCCAATAAAGTGTAGCACAGTTTTTCCTCACATAAGAAAATTATTTCAGTGACTTAGAACAATGCTGTTTTCATCTGCATCTCTTGAATGACCGGTGGTGTTCAGCATTTTTTTCAAGTGCAAGGGCCTGAGTTTGATATTTATTTTTCATATATTTATTTGCTACTTTTACTTCTTTGAGAAATGTCTGTTCTTTTCAGATGCCCATTTTTGAATTGGGTTTATAAATTTGGGGGGGTCTGATTTTTTGAGTTCTTTATATATTCTGAATAGTAGACCTTTGTCTGAGGAACAGCTGGTAAAAATTTTTTCCCACATTGTAGGTTGTCTCTTCGCTCTGTTGGTGGTTTCTCTTGCTGTGCAGAAGCTTTTTAATAAGATGAGATCCCAGTTGTTGATTCTTTCTGCTAGTTCCCATACTACTGAGGATTTGTTCATAAAGTCTTCTCCTGTGCCAATGTCTTCGAGAGTTCTACCTAACTTATCTTCCAGCAAGTTTAGTGTTTCTGTTTTAATATTTAGATCTTTAATCCACTTGGATTTTAAACACCCTGTATTGTTTACCTTTTTATTTCCTGACTAGACAATTTCTGTCTAAGTTTCTGCTTTTCACACTGTCTGTCTATGCGGCAAGAGCGTCCCATCTAATAGGTGACAGCAGCGGCCCTCAAGGCCAGTCCTGCTCCATGCTTCCTAAAGAAGGAAGTTGGCCAAGTCGCTTAATATTGCTCCTGTGTAAAAAGGAGACAATCATAGCACCGCAGAGGTCGGCTGGTAGGACTAAATGACAAAGAAGCGGTTGAGCTATAAAGAAGGACAGTTTTAGTTACTTGTCGGAAAATGGGTGCACTTTGACTCCACACTGCTAAGTAAAATAAATCAGACACAGAAGATTAAGTATTGCATGATTTTTCTTACATGATAAATCTAAAATAGAAATAATTTAAAGAGCAAAATAAATGACAGATGCCAGGAAGCAGAAAGATAGACTTTGTGAGGATGGGAAGGGGACCTGGGCATGGGGAAAAATGGGAGGGAAGAGAGAAGTAAAAAGGATCATCAAGACGCATGTGTATTTGTACCATCTCTGCACAATGAACGTACTTAATTATGTCTCATAAACGTTACCAAGAAGCCTTTTAAAGTGGGTGAAAGCATCCGCATGACTCCTGACACAGCTAGCACCCCATATTCTTCAGCGGTGCCACCATCACCTTCATCACCAGTGGGGATCGTGGCATGGCCCTACTTAGAACGTAAACCAGGTGGAATCACTGCCAGCTTATACCGCTGAGGTCTTTCCGGCAGGCCACTCGCTCTTCTGGTACAGAGTGTTTCAACATAAACGTAACAGCAAATAAACCTAATGTCTACTCTCTGGTCCTTCACCGGAAATGTTGGCCCCTGACCTTAACCGTGCGCCATGCGGATCCCCTGATGTGAATCCATGCGAATCCATGCCGCACATTCTCTGTCTTCCTCTCCTCTTTCCATTTCTGTAACTCCCTCCTGACCTGTTATCCTCTCATTATCCTCAGTATACTTACTGATTTTCTGAATTACAGGAAATGCCCAAAGGAGTTTCAGAATTGCTGAATAAAACAAAGAAACAAACAAACAAAAACCCATGAAAACAAAAACAAATGAAAACAAACAGCACACTCCAATCCTATTCTTTAGAGCTCTCTACGTGGTTTTTTTTGGGGGTGGTTAGTCAAAATTCTATGTTTTGCTTGGGTGAGTTCTCCCTCTGCACCTTCAGTGTGGTCATACGCATTTAAACATAGCCATCTGCTTTTGTTTGCATTACATTTTAGGAATTTTTTCCACTCTTGTTGATTTCTATTATTATTGTTTTTTGCTGCTGTAGTTTTTTGGTACCAGGGATCAAACTCGGGCCTTTGCACTTGCGAGGCAGGTGGCGGAATGAACCACAGAGCCAAATTCCTGGCCTGATTTCTATTACTTTTAATTGTTGAGTATATAAAAGAAGTAAAAAACACACAGAAAGGCAAGACTCATAATTGGCTGTGGTGTCGTTCTGTTTCACCCCCCCAAATGTGTACATATCTGTTTTAATAAATCCCCCCTCTTATCCAAAAAGTAGCTTTCTGTGGTTACTCTTTTGTTGCTTTATTTCCAGGTTCCAAAAGACCCTGGACATAGTTCTCCACAGTCCCTCAGGAGCTTCCTCGTCCTCAGTCACAGCTGCTTCACGCTGGCCTTGTGAGGCAGGCGGCGGTGATCCTCCTGCCTCAGCCTCCTTAGTGTTGGCATTACAGGTGTGTGCCACCACATCCAACTCAGTGGATCTTATTTTCACTTTTCAAAATGACCCCAGGGTTCTACTGACAAATCACATTATTTTAATATAGGTTTAAAATTCTTATGCAAGTAAGACATTTTTAAGCAAACCAACTCATTTGTTTGGTGTTTTACTAAGTGAGCATTTATAAACTATACTTAAAAAAAAAGGTTTCCATGTTAACTATAATATGGGAACTTTTAGCTAATAAAAATCAAACAAAAGCTTTCAAGCAGGACTTTCCATAACCTTTAAAACACAGTAACTCACCCACAAGGAAGACAGAGCATGCAGGCAGCTCTGCCCCAATTAATGCACCTGCTGCTGTCATCTGAGAAATGCTGCTCCAGATTTATACCGTCCTCTCATCCTGGTGGCATCTTTTCCTTTTCTTTTTGAAGTAGTGTATGTATGCTTAATATTCTCATTTTTTAGGACCAGTCTTTTTTTTTTTTTGGGTGGTTCGTTATTACACAATTAATGGTCTAGCACCTGCATCTTACAAGTTTTTTTACGTCTGCATGTATGCTAAGCCACAGTCTTGACTGTTTTTTCCTTCCTCTTTTTGAGACAATATCTGGCTATGCAGCCAGGCTGGTCTTGAACTCACAGTCGTCCTGCCTCAGTCTCCTGAGTCTGGGATGGCAGGTGTGCACCACCATGACTGGCCTGTCTTGACTCTTCATCACACCTTTAAACCTCTCTGCCTTGCCTTAGGTAAAGCAGCATGCACCTAAGGGATGGCGGTGGTCCCAGTTCAGGTCCACTCACAGCACGCCTGTCCCAACTGTAGTTCCGACCCATTTTCTTGGCTTCTAACCCCGTCCACCCATGTTCTGGAATCTGTTCTTGTTCTTGTTCCACCAATCCCACCACAGCTGTGCCCTCTGGAGTTGATACTCTGGTCAGTTTCCTCAGCTCCAACCCTAACCCTGACCATGTCGTGTCCCTGAGAGGCTTCCAGCTCCTTCAGTAAGTGAGCTTCCTTTTTAGTCAGGCCTGCTCTCTGAGCAACCCCAGACCTTCCTCTTCCTCACTGCTCTTGAGTATCCTGGTGGCCTCTTTTCTCTTGCGGTTCCTTGGCAAACCTGTGAGCGCTGAACTGTCAACAGAAGAGGTATTTTATTTGAGTCAAGACAAGGGATTCATTTTAAGCACCACACATAAAAAGAGAGTGCAGATGAGGAATAAAAACTATCTTGTGAGTTTTCACTGTGGCCAAATTGATATAATAATATTAAAATCTTGACCAAAAAGGAATACCTTATGGTTTTCATTCAACCTGCAGGTTATATAGTGCTCATTACCCGAAGAAAGCTGAATCAGATATTTTGAGAATTGAAGACAATATTCTCAGTTAAGACAGATTGTGGCAAAAAGAGAACAACAACCCAATCTCCTTAATGAACATAGATGCAAAACTCCTCAGTAAGATACTGGCAAACAGAATGCAGCGAATAACCAACAAGATTATACACCATGACCAAGTAGGATTCATCCTAGGGATGCAGGAAGGGTTCAACATATGCACACCAATAAATGTAACATATTATATTAACAAAACCAAGGACAAAAACCACATGATCATCTCAATAGATGCAGAAAAAGCATTTAACAAAGCGCAACATCCACTCATGATAAAAATCCTACAGAAAACGGGAGTAGGTCTTTATCTCAAACTGATAAGAGCCATTGTGACCAACCAACCACCAAAGTCATAGTAAATGGTCCAAAACTGAAAGCTTTCACTCTAAAATCAGGAACAAGACAAAGATGTCTACTATCACCACTCTTGTTCAACATAGTTCTTGAAACATTAGCCAGAGCAATTAGACAAGAGAAAGAACTAAAACGAATAAGGATAGGAAAGGAAGAAGTTAAATTACAATTATTTGCTGATGACAAGATACTCTACATAGACCCCCATAGACTCTACAGAAGGCCCCAAAACTCCACCAAAAGCCTCCTAAAATTAATAACCAAATTCAGTAGCATACAGAGTCAGCAGTTAAAAATTAATAGCATTCCTATACGCAAATAATAAACTCACTGAGAGAGAAATTAGGAAAATCACACCTTTCACAATAACATCAAGAGAAATAAGACACTTAGGAGCCACTCTAACAAAGGAAGTAAAAGATCTTTACCTTGAAAACGACAGTACTCTGAAAAGGAAGACTGAGGAGGATATCAGAAAATGGAATGACAGGGCTGGGGATTTAGCTCAGTGGTTCCATTGCCTGTCTCACAAGTGCAAGGTTCTGAGTTTGATCCCAGATACAAAGACAGGAAGGAAGAAAGAAAGACAAGAAAAGAAAAGAAAAAGAAAGAAAACGGAAAGCTATCCCTTGATCTTGGATAAGCAGAACCATACTTCCCAGATTGTCATATAGATTTAATGCGTTTTTTTTTTTTTTTTTGTACTGGGGATCGAAC